TCACACACAAATGACGTTTCAAAAGTATACCTTTGTTATAAATATGTAATCTTATATATACGTATCTGTATATTTTTTGTACAATTCACATTCTGTAGCATTAACAAAATATATTACGGTGCGCAATTATACATATAAGGAAAAAGGGGAGCAATGAAAAATGACTAATTGATTCTGATGTGATTTGTTTGCACCATTAGCTTTTAAAAGGGTGTTAATAGTGGCTAGAACGTAGATACATAATAACACATTATATAAATACACGCATATAAAATTATAATGAATTAAATTTATTCTTAAGTGTAAATTTTTGAGATTTTTATTTTAAATTAATAATTATATACATCCATTATAGTCATAAATCTATTTACAAATTTTTCATTTTATTTCATATGTGAAATCCAGTTACTTGTTTTTAATCATTCATGCATTCTTAAATTACGTTAAAATTATACTTTTTATTATTTATTTTTATAAAAATTTTCAAGAAAGTTGATTTTTAATCATTTTTTTACAAAATATGTTGATTGGTCAATAACAACTGTAGTATAAATAAAGTTGCAAGCATTTTAATATATAAGACGTGTATTCAGCGCCGGTGAGTATATCTCGTTCTGATTTAGAGTCTCACACCTAACTGGCAATGCTTTTAAGTTTTGATACAACAATTTAATATAAATTTAATGAATCAAAATATGTAAGAAACAAATACATCTAACAAATAATATACTTAAAAAACATTTAATAAAAACAAATATAACACTTTCTTCTGGTTTGACATTTTCAAAATGACTCAATTACTATATCAAAATTTATTTTTTAAATTATTTCGGATTTAATATCTAAAAGTGCTAAAGCTGAACATGGTTCTTGTACTTTTGTCGTTCTAATATTATTTTTAATTTGCTTTAATACTGAAAATGATCGTTCATAGGAGTAATTACTGATAGGCATAGACAAATTTACATTGACGCGGTCGCTTTGCACTTTCGGCTTTACCGCTTGATGGAGACCGCGACACAGCTGCCTTTTCTCGCCCGACGGGTCGCACGACGCCTAGTGACCGCCAGCGACATGAACCGGCCGGCACAGATTAAATTGATTAACACTTTTGACTTGCTTACGAAAACGAGTAAAGCATTTTTTTGTTACGGCCTGTATTTTTTGTTATTTGATTCTAATATGGCGTATTACTAATTATATGACCTTCCGTATATTAATTATCATAGATAAACCTTGACTTCCATTTCAACATATGGAGAGCAAATTCTACGTTATTTTTTGTTTAACATAATATGAAATCCAAAATGGTTTTTGGTATTTCATCATTAATACTTAAACTTTTTTTTGTTGTACTACTTCAGTCACTAACACTGAGCTCTGAGGATTTTTTTTTTTCAAATTTATGTATATTACATAAGCTTTAATTTAAGATATATATATATATATATATATATACAAGTGTCAGTATTACCGGAACATTTTCAAAAGTTAATTTGAAAAAGTTGCCATTTTGAAACCCTCCCCGTGGGTTAGTAAAGGGTCAAATGTTCACAAAAATATATCAAATAATAGGTAAATACCTAAGGTATCTATAAAAATAAAATTATATTGATTTAGTTTTTTTTTTTTAAAGTTATGGCAGTTTAAAAAAAAAAATTGAAAAAATTATCGATTTTTAAAATTATAATTTTTTGGGAGATTTCCTCCGTTTACGGGAAACGAAGAAATTTTATTCAATTTTTTAGGGTAATGTCTTCGACTAGATACGATTTGTGATCTTTTGACGAATTGTTCATCAAAATGGGTCCAGCGAAAACTGAGATTGAGCGCTCACAAAATTAAAAAAAAAACACATTATAGTAAAATTAATACATTCTCAACTTTGCATCGAAGCTAATAAAGCAGAGTACATAGAGAAAAGTTTGACAATAGAGAACAAGTGGTAGGTAAAATGAGGAGACCCGCTATGATGTATGGTTCCAGATTGTTGGGCGGTAGTTTTCATTTCAATAAAAATAATCTATTTTTATGTATAATCTATTTGATAGTTCGATAGTCAAAAGTATTCAGTCGTGCAAATTTTCATTCAAATAAGGTATTTATTGATTAATTTAATTGTGTGATGGTGTCACGTTACCATTATTATAAAAAATTAGTATAATAAAATACAGACAACGCATCCGCTTCTAAAAACTGATTAATTGTTGATTAATATTTATTGCATAATTGGCAATCGTCTGAATTACTTTTTAAACCCAAAAGACTTGCCCGTCCTCGTTAATCGATTCCAGTGCTTTGTGTCATTCATCAGTCTCAATACTCGGTCGTTGCTGTCCGGCTTACTGTATAAAGTCAAGTCTTTTTTTTTCCTTTTTCACCTACCTACTCTCGTCCTCAACATTTCAGAGTACTTGTATCTTGTACTTCGTCTGCACCTCATACTCGGCTACCCCGTTCTCTCTTTGAAAACTTGTGTCTTGCACCTCGTACTTCATTATCCTCTTCTAATAACTAAAGTACTTGTATCTTGAATTTCGTCTCAACTTATACTTTTGAATACACCTGGTATTTGTGTCTTGCACTTCATACCCAGATGTTACCCTAATTCCCTTCCTATAACAACTGCCTTTCGACACCCATAGCTAATCAGGAGTGTCAGCCGAGCACGGTAACTGCTGTATGATCACATGTACGTAAATACCCAGGCAGCAGACTCGACATCATCTCATACACACTACACTACTCTACTACCCTTTCCGTTTGGGTTTTGATTTGTGTTACAATTGTTTTAAACGCACATAATATGCTGAATCATATCATTCATGGTACAGTTTTATAGTCGGTAATTCGGTCCCATTTTTCGATAACTAAATACTAACGAAAAACAATAGTTTCTTTTAATAGTTATTGAAAATAACCGTATGAATCGATAGTTTTAGACAATTAAATGGTTGGATAGTGCATTCGGTAGTACCATGTACTATATGTGGTAATACCCATCACTATCAGTACTTCTTGGTCACACTGTTTGATATAAACAAACCTAAACCCGGCTTTACATTTTTTTAATCATCTTTCCAAATAAATAAAAAAATATTATAATGTTAAATAATTAGGGATTACTTCATGATTAACTCATTTTCTTAAAAAGTTAAATGTTCAAGATAGTTACAGCATTTAAATTTAAATTTATTAATAGGTTAGTGAATACAATTTTGTAAATAATGATTTAGCAATAATAAAATAGTAGCTAAATTATAGTTCCATAATTTTAATAAAACTTAATTTTATTGAGAATTATGTAATTTCTTACAAGTAAAATATTTCATAACACATTTTTTTATCAATTTTTTAGGTTCCAATAGAAATAAAAGATGAATAGTGGAATGTTATATGGTGGTGATGAGATTGGAGCATTAGTGTTTGATTTAGGATCACAATCATTTCGTATTGGATATGCTCAAGAAGATACTCCCAAAGCAGAAATACCATCAGTTGTTGGTTTATCGGATGATGGCACAGCAGATACAAGTATGTTGGACCCTGGAATCAAACAAGGAAATCGTATTAATGAGAACACTAAACATTATATTGATGTAACTTCATTATGTGTTCCCCGGAAAGGTATTTGAATAAAATAATTAATAGTAGTATTCAGAAGTAAATTGCAAAAACACTTTTCCTTTGATTTTATACTTAATATCTAATTAAAAATTTTTTATTTAAATATTTCATTGAAACAAAAAATAATCAAATCTCTGTAAATTAAAAATCCATCTGATTTTTTAAAATATTTTGTTCATTAAAGTTTTTACATAATAAAAATATTATTACAGGCATGGAAGTAGTTAGTTATATGAAAGATGGAATGATTGATGATTGGGATTTATTTGAAAAAATTCTTGACTATTCTTATACAAAGTGTTTGCAAACTGATTCTCAATACCATCCAGTATTATTTACTGAGTCACCTTTAAATATAAGATCCAAAAGAGAAAAATTAGTTGAGTTGATGTTTGAAAAATACAATGTACCCGCTACATTTCTTGGAAGAAATGCAGTTTTGGCTGCATTTTCTTGTGGACGTTCAACTGGTATTGTCATTGATAGTGGAGCTACTCATACATCTGCTATACCTGTTCATGATGGTTATGTAATTCCTAGTGCTATTGTTAAATCTCCGTTAGGAGGAGATTTTATCAGTATGCAATGCAGACAATTTCTTAAGGTATTTTTACTATTCAAGTTAAGAAGCAATTGTCAGATAACCCTAAGTTATATTATTAATATAGTTATGTACTAATAAATATAAAAAAATAGAATTGAATTTGATTTGGAATTACTAAATTTGCTCTAATTTTATCATTTATTAATAAAATACAGGAGAATGAAATTGAGGTAATACCTAATTATTTGGTCGCACAAAAAGAACAAGTTAAGGAAAAAGAAAAACCTATTTGGACTAAAAAAAAAAGTCTTCCTGAAGTAACCAATTCTTGGCACAATTATATGTGTAAAGCAGTTATTCAAGATTTTCAACATTCAGTTTTACAAGTATCAGAAGGACCATATGATGAAAGAATTATATCTGCGCTCCCTACTTATCATTATGAATTTCCAAATGGTTATAATCAGGTTATTATTTTTTTATTGCTATGCAATTATGATAGTAGCAAGTAACCATTATTTAATTAAATCTACAGGAATTTGGAAATGAAAGATTTAAGATACCAGAAGCTTTATTTGACCCTAGTGCTAGCATGGGAGGTTCTATGTTAGGTGTAAGTCATATAGTTACAACAAGTGTTGGAATGTGTGATGTTGATGTAAGACCAGCTTTATATAATAATGTAATTGTTACTGGAGGCAATTCATTTTTACAAGTATGTTAAATTTAATATGATAAATGATCAAATCATTAACTTTGAAAATCTTTTTATAGGGTTTTCCAGAACGATTAAACCGAGATCTCTCTGCCAGGATACCAGCTAGTATGAGACTAAAACTCATAGCTCCTAATGGTTCTACAGAACGTAGATTTGGTGCATGGATTGGTGGATCTATTCTAGCATCAATCGGGACATTTCAACAAATGTGGATTAGCCATCAAGAATATAATGAAGGTGGTAAAAGTCAAATTGATCGTAAATGTCCATAAAGACTCATCAATTAAATTCTGAAATATTCTTTTGTAATACTTCAATAAAAATGAAATTATAAAATATGATATTGATATAATTTTGATTTATAAATTGTATGATATTTATATCAGATCAACTCAATATAATTTTTAAATTATTGTACATAATATATTATTTTTTTTATATTTTATGCTAGAGTAGTTTTTTGTTTAATACTTCTATTATTACTTCTAAACCATTGAATTAAGTTATTAGTCCCAATATTATGTAAAATTTAATTTCTTTTCATTCTCAATAACTGACTATTAAAGATGTAAATAAAATGGAATTTTATAGAACTCTTAATTTTCAAACAATCATTTTTACATTGTTTTATTATTTTATAAATGGTGTTCTATAAATAATACATTCATTAAAAATTGAATAAAACAGTAAAATTTAAAAATAAATGTATTTATTTTTGAAATATTAATATTCAAAAGTATCTCTGATTTAATGATACAATTAATTTAATAATCAAAATTACTTAACAGACTAAAATATTTTGTGCTAGTTACAACTTTAAAAATGAAATAATTATGTAAATGTTTTGAATCATTCTATTTTTTATATTGATATAATAATAGAAAAAAATAAAACATAATAATTAAATTACACTTTTATTTTGTCACAATGAATATTATATATAAGAAAAAAATGATTCATTTCCAAACAGACACTACTTTTGTGTCTTTTTCAATTTCTTCATCAAGTTTATAAATATCTGAATTTGTATAACAGCTAATTATATTAAGAGAGTTTAGTCCATTATAGAATTGTCCTAATGGCGTTTCTGTTGTAGACAAACGAACGTACAAAGAGGAAATAGAAATCGAAAAATGTCCAGAGAATTTTAAATTCTAACAGAGAAGACGGATGGAAAATAAGCAAAACTTGATTACCCATTATACACGAGACAAAAAGAAAATCAACTAACAACACTGAAAACAGTTCAATACAAGAAAAAGTTACTATCAACGTAATTGAANGAAAGAACAATAATTTATAATAACTTACTTTATATTAAAGCATTATACTATTAAATAATAATACTATTATTTACAAATGATTTGTGAAAAGTATAACCTAGTAGATACAAAAAACTTTCCTAAGTAGAAATAAGCATACTATATAATTGATTGTAATAACAATAGTAATAAAGAGATACCCATTTTGCTTATCAATACCTTTAATAAAACCTTTACAGTTTAGCACTTTAAATCATCACTTATATTTATGTGATTAGACAATTAAAAAATGTAATTAAATAGTAACTACATCAAAAGTTATGTTTCACCTTTCGTATCTGACGGATATAACCATTAGCTAAACCATAATGGACTAAATTTCTTTCATCGATACTAAGAGAAGCCGGATTAAATCTTAAGCAAACATCAATTAAACGAGATCCTTGTCGCATTGCAGAGTACATACTAAATATACTTTTTATTGTTGTTTTTGATCCATCTACAACATAAATAGATTTTATTGAAGGTTATTGATCATTTTTACAAATACAACATTTTATAGGGATAATAATCAATTTATCAGTAAAATATTCTAAAAAATATCAGTTATAAAAATTCAAGATAATTTATTCTTAGTTTAAATAATACTCAATTTATAAATTAAAAAACATTTTGTGAATAAACACATACATGGTTATTAAGCACATAAAAATATCTTTTATGATTTATGAAAACTTTATGCTAATAATATTTTAGTGATTTATATGTTATAAAATTAGTGAAAACAATTTTAATTGATCTATACATTTGTGGTATGTATTATTTTCAATAACTTTGAGAAAATAATTTTTTAATAGAACAATGTGTCAGTCAATTCATAACATCAGATGTCTCCAAATAGGGCTCTTAATTTTATATTTAAAAATAGTACAACAAATCCATAAAACTTTATAATTGTTAAAAATTTAATGTTTTACGAAAAGTGGTATCAGTGTTAATTGTTGTTGAAATAATTGTTTCAAAGAAAAATCTTTTTTTAAGATTCTCAATAGTTTAGGTTAAAAATATATTTAAAATTAATTTTTATTTAACTTAACTGAACTGAAATTTTAATTTAATACAATGAATGAAACATGTTATCTTTTAAAGTGAATGCTTTGATAAATAAGGTATTTTTTGTTAACAATTTTAAATTTTTATTTAAATTTATTTATTTATTTTGTATTTTATGTGATCCACCCTATTATAACTATGGTTTTACTTCTAGTTAGTCAGTAGTTTTCATGATATAACGTATAGAATACATTTTAGGTATCATATAAAATTTCATACAAAATGTTCCAGTGTATTCCAGAGTACATAAGCTAGTTCTCCAATTAGTAAGTAGGAATATTCCATACACCCTTTAAAACACTACTCTTTCTAAATCCTTCTATTATAATGTCATTCTTCTTCTTCTTTTTCCTTGCCTTAATCCCAACTACTTGAGGTTGGCTACCCTTTTCCTAAACTTCCATTTGACACAATCTCCAACATCATGTACACTCACATCAGCCGTTCTCATATCTATTATTCTATTGTAATGTCTTTCATGATTAAATAAATAACAAATCAATATTTTATTTACACATTACTAACTTGGGCGTGAAATAACATCAATTGCTTCATCATAACGACTCTTGTCTCTAGCTAAAATACCTATTTTAGTAGTTGACACATACATGTTGCTATAACGAAATAAATCAACTAATGAAACTGCATTACAATATCTGTAATTAAAAAACAAAACAATAATTAACAATATTTTCGATAGACAGATTAATTATAATGTAATATATATACAGGGTGATTTTTTTATCATAACCCACTCAATTACTTGCAGCATAATAATAATTTAAACATTTTTTTTTATTATTATCTTTAGTTACACAGTANTGCGGTACCTGTTTCAGTAGTCATGTGTACAGACCTATATAACGCTTATAATTTCATTGGTGTAGGAATATCATCACTCGACTAGACTCTCAGGCTAGACTCGTGTATCATAGAGAAAGATAGATACAAAGTAAGAATAGGTACATGGAATGTTGGAACATTAACTGGTAGATATAGAGAATTAGTAAAATTATTGAAGAGGAGAAAAGTTAATATATATTGTGTGAAGGAATCTAAGTGAAAGGGAGAAAAAGCAAGGAAAGTATGTGAGGATTACAAAATAATTTACTCTGGTAGACTAATACAAACAATGGCGTAGAGATAATAATGGATGATAAGATGAAAAATATGTAAGAAGTAGTTGCGAATAGTGTCTGAATTATAGTCAAAAAATTAATTTTCCAGATAAATACCTATGCACTACAAGTAGGATGTGATGAAATAGACAAAGTGTTTTGGAGAGAGATGGATGAGGTGACGCAAGGAATACCTGGTAATAGGCAGGATGTGGTAATAGGTGGAAATATGAATGGGCATGTAGGTAATGAGAGGAGATGATATGAAAAAGTATATGGATTGAATGGTATTAGTGAGAAAAATAAGGCTGGAGAAAGAATCCTGAATTTTGCAAATTGTATGGATCTTGCTGTGGTTAATACTTATTTTAGAAAGAGGAAAGAACATTATATAATTTATAAAATTAGGAGTAATAGATCACAGATTGATTATTTTATGTAGGAGAGAAAGAGTGTAAAGAAAGTAATAGATTGTAAAGTTATCTAGGCGAGAGATGTTGGAAATTAAAAGAAAAAAAGAGTTTATAAAGATGGTAAAAAAAGACAGTGTAGAATGTTGAGGAAAACATAAATAATGTATGGAATAGATTGGCTAACTGTGTAAAGAATACTATAAAGGAGATTGTTGGTGAGAGTAGTAGAATGCTAGGAAACAAAGAAAAAGGTTTATGGGATGAGGGCGTTTAAAAAATCGTAGAGAGTAAGAAAAAGCACTTCAAAATACAGCAAAAAAGGAAAAGGAGAGAAGACTGGATAAAGTATAAATGCTTATGTAAAGAAACCAAGTGGGCAGTAAGTAAAGCTAATTATAAGTATAATGAGTTCCTTGATAGGCTAAGAACAAAAGAAGGTGAAAAAAAGTCTATAGACTTTCAAAGGTAAGAGAAAAACAGACTAAAGTTTATCACTATTTAAGTTGTATAAAAAGATCTTAAAAATCTAAGACTTTAATGAGGTCTTCGATGTGGACACATAATACAGGCGTCTTCCATGCATTGTAATAATGATTAAATCCAGCGGCATAACGTATAACCATGTGATTTGGAAAAAACTCGCTGACAGCTACAAGTCACTCGAACCACCACCACAAAAAATAATACATACAAGTACACAAAAAAGACCGTACGGCTACAAACTTCAATCTAAAAACAAAGGCGAGGCAAATAACATGTCCTACAACCCGACCAAAATCGTACACTTATGTTATGAGCTCGTATTGAAAATTTAATGAGACAGTATATATTTATAATATAACGACGTAAAAATGAAAATTGAATATAATAGATAAAATTAGTACAATTATTGTAACTACGATAAGAGAATAAAACATTTCCCAAGGCACGTGACCAATGTCCTGGCGTCATGTTTATATCCCCTAAACCATAAGTCAAATAACGTACTGAAGTAACTTATTTTACATTAAATGAAAAGGTTTATTGTGAGAAAAAGTAAGTAAAGACATTTATGTCTTATGCTGGCCAGGGTCGCCATTCTGCAAGTGGGCTATTTTATAATTTGGCCTGTAACAACAACATGGATTGCCACTTGCAAACGTCTAGCTATAGTAGCAAGAGTCACCACCACCTAGGCGAGGTGTCACACATATCAGATATGATTACCGGACCATAGGTGGAATTTAATTTTAAGTTAATTAAAAGCATAATCTAAGTTAATATGTCGTTATATGTATAAATTACTATAATACCTCGTGGTTTATTAAACACAATTATGACAATCAAAGTTGTATGTGGTTGATATGTAAAACATACCGTAGCCCGTGTCTAGATTAAGGAATAGGGATAAAATACACGCGAGTAGTTAAGTTACTCGCGCAATAAAATAAATATTACAGTTGAAATTAATAAGGAAATTTAATATAATTGTTAAAAAAAAGAAAATTAAGTTAAACATGGACAAAAATGCAAATGCACTAAAAACCATGTCTACAAATATAGGCAATAAAAATAAAATAAAATATTTAAACAAATAATATTACAAACATCACGGACGGTATTGAAACACATCCGTTAATGTTAATCTGAAATTAATGAAAAACACTAGGAGTGGTCTGGACACTAGCTCCTTAGCGTTGGCTAGAAGAAAAGAGAAACACGTGCTCTCCACACATAAACAAAATTAAGTTAATTTACGATAAAATAAAAATGAAATAAAATATAGCTCATTACATAAATATAATATATAAAAGAAAACGATACCCGGTCTCCGAAGAGACCCATCCAATGGTCTGGATGCTTCGCCGAAAAGACCTAGCCGTTCACCGTTAGCGGCTCTACCCCATCATTGAAAAAAAATGACCAAAAAACAATAAACGTGTGCACTCTAGCACGGTCAATGACAGAAGAAAGAATGGAGAAGAATCAACACCGATCTAACAGCAATTTCAAATCGATAACGGCCAGTCTTTTTGGAAGGGAACAATACTGATAAACAATTCGATTTTAATTATATTTCTTTTATAGCCTTATCTAGCGGTCAGCGGCAAAATAATGAGTGGTTGACACCGCTGTGTGCAGAAAAAGGTTCTTTCGCGCGATAAAATAAATAAGTAGACATAACAAAAATCATAAACGGTCCACCTTGGAATTTATGACGTTACACACTTCTGATGGGATTTTATTAAAAAGATTCTTTAACCACCTTATGTGCATACTACCTAATATTTTCCATACTTCTACATCTATATATATAAAATTCTCGTGTCACAGTGTTTGTTACCATACTCCTCCAAAACGGCTTAACCGAATTTAATGTACATTCGGTAGGTCTGCGAATAGGTTTTTATCTATTTTTTATATAAAAGAGCAGAGTCTATCTGTCCGCTAATGAATCCTAGGCTGTTTCACTGTTCGGGAACAAATTTGGCACGTTTAATATTTACGACCCGAGAAACTCAACACCGCAAAAATGAAAGTTGTAACCTAATTAGTTTTTTCTTTATTAATTTTTAACCAACTCTTTCAAAAACTTTTCAAACTTTTGTATAGTAGTTTCCTTTCAACGCACTGTCTGACGTCACATACAGCTCTGACTCCGCGACCTCGGAAGCAGAGATACGGGGAAATGTCGTATATATATATTCTCGCATCCGCTTCATTTTTTAAAATAAAAAGAAAAGAAAACTTTCTTAAAGTTTAGGGTGTACTAATTCTAAAAATATAAGTTTCAAAGCATAATTTTCAGATTTAATAATTAAAATTCTATAGTTTATAAGACACACAAATTTGCACAAAAACTGCGCTAAAAACGTCGCATATTGACAAAATTTAAAAATGAATATACCATTTTAATTCTCAGACTATAACGATTCTAAAAATATGAACTTTAAAAAAATATTTTAAACACTTCGTAAGATACGGTTAAAAATTCATTTTTCATTTCAACATTAAATAATTTTGACATCGTGTTTACGGACACTCACGCCATCAATTTAAACATTTTCAATTTCCAATTAAATTGTCATTTACAATGATTATTAATAAGTCTCAGGGCCATACGATGTCTGTCTGTGGCTTAGATTTGAGCAAATCATGTTTTTACACGGACAATTATACGTGGTGTGCTTTCGAGTGGACAAACCATCCAGTTTGTTTGTATTGGTGAACGATAAGATAACAAAAAATATTGTACACTCTGTTGCATTAAGGGATTAATACTATTTTTTAGTAATATTGTTATAGGTAGCGATATGTATATAATTTTAAAGAATCAATTTTAATAAATTAAAAAAATTAATGTTTGGTGTTTTGTTATTTTTACATTCCGTCGCCGTTCACAGTGCTCCATATCTCTTCAACATATATACCACATCCTTACACATTAGCAATAAGTTAGTTATTTTTTTCTAGCAAAATATTCTCTAGAAATAATTTATATGACAAAACAACGTTTGTCGGGTCAGCTAGTGATATTATATATCAGTATGTTTTAAAATACAGATTTAAAATTTTTTTACTTATACTTACACTAAATTTTGTATACATGCAGTCACCATTTCAATATCCAATTTTGCAAGCTCAGCAATTTTAGATACATGGTTAACTCCATCAATAAAAGGAGCAACCTGAATAAAATATTTAATTTCAATCAATTTTTCTTCAATAAAAAAGATAAAAGTTTATGTGAATACATCATAAAAAGAAACAAAAATTAACCCAATACTGATGATTAAAATTAAATTTTTGAAATACACGTATCCATTGATTTTTCATCGTCCTTTGTGGTGTTGGGTTAATTTTATTTATTTAACTATTTATTAGCTTCAAGTTATCAATTATAATTTTTTTGAGTTTAACTTTTATAGTTATTTTTTCAATTTTAAGTAAATACAATTTTCAATTATAGAATTAAAGCAAGGTATAATCTATAGACAAAACATTAGCTGATTAAGTAATTTTATTAGTCATTGATTATTGCATAGTTAGGAAAATAAAAAATGGGAAAAACTATATATTTTTAATGTTTCTCCTAAAATCTATAAATTAAGAAATATTAATTATACACCTCTTTTCTTAATTTGAACGGTAACATCATGAAACCATTTTACCAAATTCAGTTTCAACTGAGTGAAAAATGAAATTTACTTATCTCTCATTATTCTAAATATAATTTATCCAAAACTGCTTAGTTTCTGACTTTCTTGTGATTTTTATAAATTTAAAGATAAATTATAATACAAATAAAAAATCAGAATTACAGCTGTATATAATGAGTTCATCTACAGCAGCAGATTCTGACATTTTTTTGGGGAGATAATTTTTCATATTTGATTGTGAAAGCTTATTTTTTCAAAACTTCAAATTTAGGGCAAAAAATGTTTTAAAAAAATCTGTAATTTATGTAATTAACTTAATATGATAATGTAATACTCATAATAGCTATTCAACAATGATATATCTATTTTTTATGGCCATATTGACCAATCCTAGTTCAGAGATTGTTCATTTATTTACAATTAAGATGAAAAATTCAATTACTTGTCTTGTTGTTAAATCCCAATGATCTTCTGTTAGTTCTAAAGGACTAACTAACAATGGTACATCATAATCTAATGGAACTGGAGGATTGGGTGATACTTCAACAACATTTAAGTATACAATTGTATCTCGAGCTATAAAAATTTGACAATATTTATTGTTATAGCAAAATAGATATTATTTACAATATAATCTTTTTTAGAATTAAATATTTTTTAGTACTAATTAGATAATTACTAATTGAATTTTAAATTATATTTTAGAAAACTTAATTTTCATAATTTATATAATAATTATTGGAGGATAGTTGTACTTTGAATCCTATTTTTTCTGATCAACCTTTTATTTAGAACTAGTATATTAAAATAAATCAGATATCAAAATATTTTGTAACTAATTGATGCTACACATTAGTTCCCTACATTTTTTTTCTCTTAATCAATCTTCTATAATATTCAAGGCTGTTATAAAAATCCTTAACTATCTTATAACCCAATTACTTTTCCAGATTGTCAAAATTGTAACTACCATTAATACTTTATCTAAAATACTTAATATTAGATAATACATTTTTTATATTATAACAACTAAATAAAATAAAGTTAAATTCTACTGATATATAAAAAAAATTACCACTCAAAACACATTTTTTATACATGTTGATATCATTCATAACTTTTTTTAAAAGAAACAACAAATGTTCTTTAGTTTCTATTGATTTATCATTTTTAGATAAAAAATTATCTTCGATTTCTAGATTTGTCTAAACATAGAGTCATTCATTATTATTTCTAAAATCAGGACACAAATGCAAATAATATTTTTCGAATGGCTTAAACCACAAAATTATACTTTAATAAATATATGATCACAGTTTTAATTATTTTTTTTAAATAATATTGAGTTGGCTTAAAGTAAAAAAGTAAAGATATTAGTAAATGTTCAAAATATTTTAGTTATCTACAATACTTTCAATAATTTAAAATGTATAATAATTAAATTAGCTGAATAGAAATTTTAATAATTTAAACAAAATTATAGCTTATGTGGGAAAGTCTTCTCAAATTTTGTGATTACAGCCATTCTGATATTATTCATAAAATAGAAAATTTCTGTTACTTACTAAAAAATTTGACAACTTTTTTACAATTGGTTCATATTGGACAGTATGAGAAGAATGATCACAAACAAAACACAAATTAAAGTAGTAGGCATTACGAGCATATTTTTTATCACTAATATGCACTGGATAACCCAAAATTTTTGTATCTCTTGTTGTTCTAATTAAAACATTTACAACATTTTTAGGCAACTAGTATTAAATTTATTTTACAAATTTCAAAGTTTTTTTAAAATAAGAAAAATTAAAAGGTTAAAAATTAATAATTCTAGATTTTTTTAATAAATTAATACAGGATTTGAAAATTTTTCTATTTTTGATAATTTAATTTTATTGATTAAATCCAATGGAAGATCTAATCATAATAAAATTAAAGAGAAACTTTTAAGAAATATTATTTAAAAATTAAAGAAATATATTTTTATGTTATAACATTATCATTATAAGGCGTAAGTAATAAATAAAAAAAATTTTTTATAATTGATAAATCAAAAAAAAAAACATAATAAAAGAAACCAATAAAAAAAACATCAATATTATTTTTAATATTTTTGGTTAATTAAGTTGTTCATAATAAAGTAATCACTCTACATTTCTTTTAACTACCAATCTATCATATTATTAAAATAGTTTTATAATAAACAAAATAATTTAATTTATTGGAAATATAATTTAAAAAACTTCCAATACAGAGATTTTGTATTATCATAGAATGTAAATTAAAAAAAAAATAATTTCGCACTATTAATTTGAAAGTCGCTTATTTTATTGAATTTTTATTTCTTAAAAAATAACTAACTTTTAGTATTTACTTTAATTCACTGTTCTTTCCAAATAAAAATAGATATAGAGTACTAAATCTAAAAGAAACTTTAATTTCTCTATATAGCAATTTTTTTATTCAAAAGTTAAGCAAAAAAAAAATTTAGATTATACAAATATCAAAATTTAAGCACTTACATTGTTATTTTACATCTTTGGAGTTGACCTTTTGGAATTATGTACACACTTACAGTTTCAAAAGTATCTTTACTAATGAAACTACTAGGCACCTAACAATAAATATTCAAATAAATACAAAATCTTAAGATAATTTAACCATTAAATTATAAAACACATTTAAATAAAGGATTGGAATATCTCTCTCATTATATCCCAGAATATTTTAGGAATGTTGAAAAAAGTAAATACCATGTTACATTATAATTATGTCATATTTATTATAAATTAATATAATTGAGTTAGAAGTGATGTTAAATCTATCAAACTGTAGATGATAAATTTAATTTTTTAATTTTAGTTTTTAATTGTTCCATTTTAAAAAACAAAATATATTAAAAAAATATGACTAGGTCAGCAAGTATAGGATATATTTTTTTATTAAAAAGTTAATCTCACTAAAAAAAAATTCAATGGGTAAATTTTATCTTTTTTTAGAAGTTTTACAAGGACTATCTCTGATTATTGACATAAATATTTAATTTAAACATGATTCTAAGTTTCTTCAATTTTCTAAATAATTAAATATTAAGTTTAAAATCAAGTTCATACTTTTTAAATAAAAAAGAAAACAAATTAAAATTGTAGTTAAAAAATTCATACCTGACATAATATTTTAGGGCCTGCTATTGGATGAAAATGACTAATAAAAATGCATTTTATTGGATTTTCATTTACATCCATGAATACAATTGATTAAATTTACCTTATATAAAATATTTTAAGTAATCGTCACAGACATATAAATACGTATTTATATATCTATGGTAATTGTCTACTATTAAGTTCACTAAATCTTTAGTCAAATTAAGTTAGAAAACATAAAAAGTAAAATACTTAAAAAACAAACTTTTTTTTAAAACTTATAATTTTATAGAAATTATTAACAGCTAATTTATATTGTTAGTTGTTATCACACATTGCTATCAGTTTTGTCTTGATTAAATAGATTGATTATTTTAAATTTAAAATTCACAATGAATATAAATTATATATATTATATTATATAACATGAATCAAAAATCTATTCAATTCATTCAAATAATTGTCATTTACACCTCATAAATAGATAGCTTTCACCTATTAATTTTTTTTGATTCAATGATGGAATGGAATATTGAACAATCGTAATCAAGTATAATAAAGAAATTTTAAGTCGCTAAATTCAATTGGGGCTCTAAAAATTTGTGTTCAAAAAATAAAATTACAAGCATAAAAAAATAAGTGATTATTTTTGCTTGTTTAACTCGCAAAAATTTGTACATAGTACATCCCCACCTGAATTTTATACTTAACCGTTTTTATCAAACAAAATAAATTGATCTTCAATCAATTAGTATAAATAATTCACTTATAATTTTCTAGATAAATATTATTTTTTAAGATTTATTTGGCATCTAATTACTCTTTTAGTTCAGTAAAAAGTAAAACTAAACATCTTTACACATTATTAAATTTAATTTGGTCAAATATGATAAAAAAATTTAAGCATTACATTTACCCTAACTTTTCAATTGTTATTTAAAATTTCTTTACTGAGTGTTTATTAAACTTATATCAAATTAATTGCCCAGTTTTACAAGTATAGAAGCAAACAGTATAATATTATTTTAACCTACCATCAAATATTTGTAACTGGACGATTTTCATGAAAAATAATCTACTAAATATATATTAATTTTATTTAAATAAAAAAGGCAAGACATACTTAAGTAATTATCAATTGAATTTTAATATGAAAATTTTCAACTATGTGCTTTATGATTCAAGATTTTTATGGTTATTCTAATTTTAGAATGACAACACAGATACCAATACATTCTTTATGATCACGTTTATATGTTTCTTTTGTTTATTGATTTATAAACCACAAATTAATCATACCGCTATACATTATTATACACAGATTGAATGCACAAATAACAGATTATTAGGTCATGGAAAACAAAGTCTATTTACAGTTAAAAAAATTAGATGTTGGTATAAATTTATAAATATAATTTATTAATATAATAATAAACAGCTAATAGCTGGGGAAATTTTAACTGAAATTATCATTTTATTTGTTTTTAGTTAATCTAGTATTGATTCAAGATTATAAAAATGAGAGTAATATTTTAATATTTTTATCAACGTTTTCCATTAAAGCTGGTCAGTCTGAGTGGTGTTTTGACATTAGCTGCGGCTTGTTGTTGTATTTGATAAGCCAAACCATGGATTTTGAACCCATACAATCTAATAAAAGTAAATAAATTATAAACATAACTCGGACATGATTGTGAAAATTAATTTAAAAAAAAACTATTTGGATTAGATTATAGCTTATTAAGTTTTTATGAACATTTATTCATTCATAAAAAAAATGGTGTCTAAAAAGTTTACTCTTACATTAATTAATTAATTTTCAAGTAAAAAGTTATAAATTATAGATATTCATAATAATTATAATAATACAATATAACATAATAATTTTATATAATATATAAACTATTTTTTTTTTTTTAACCTTAGACCTACACCTATATATTATAATGATTTATTCCACGCCATAAAACCTACAACTCTGTATAATTCATAAGTTGATATAAAAATGTATATAGATAAAGTATTTGATGATTAAAGATATCTTACCTAGGCACAAATTGATTACCAGGTCTTGGGGGTCTATATTCTGGATGTACCATAAACAACATATGTGGAAATCCTGTTCCAAAATATGCACCATCAGTATGATGATGACGAGATGATTTGGGTGTATACACATCCATACACTTAGGACAATACAATTTAACCATTGCTTCACCAGGTACATCTGACAAACCTTAAAGATTTTAATATACATTATATAGTATAGTACTATGTTGTAAAAATATTAAATTAACATAACTGATTTGAAAATAAGGAAATATTTAATGTCTAAAAATTTTGACTTAAACTATTTAATAAATTTAGCCAAGAATATAATGTATTAAGTTTTAAATAATAAATTAGAAATACTATAAACTATTAAATAACTGCATAAAATTAACTAGAATTTAATAAAATATATAAAATAAAAAGTACCTATAGGAAGCATTGGTGAATTTTCACAGTAAACTCGTGGACAATGACCAAAATCTCCTGTTTGATATTTTTCAATCATTTGTGCAATGCCACGATTAGTTAATATATAACGGGCATGTATAAGTCCATATAACATTTCTGCAGCTTGCTCAATTAAATCTGAGTGATTTGGATTATCATCCAAATCATCATCTAAAATTTTAATTTTAATATTTATACAATACATAACATAATAATATTGTTAATAATTAATATATGAATGGAAAAAAAAAAATGTCATTGTGCAACTAGACAAGAATACTAGTATTAATTCCTTTTTATATATGCTCTTAAAAGCTAAAGCTATAGTTAGAAAGAACAAGAAATAATTTATAGCCAAGCGCAAAAAAAAAAAAACTTTGGTAACTACTAAATATGTTAAGCAATACATATTTTTGATTACAACACTTAAATTTGTCATCTTTTTATTTTCTTATAAAGTTTAAAAATGACATGATATTAAAAAGTTAATAGAAATTTTAAAAAAAAGCTTTAAATTAAATATTACTTTATACTAGGAAAATAATTACAAATTTAAATTTAAATTATTGTTAAAAATAATACCTAAGCATTATTTAAAATTTTTTTTAATTTTGTTCTATTAATATTATAGTTGGTTAAAATTTGACTAAAATAAATATTCTATAATTTAAGTTTAAAATAAAAAATATTAGTTATCAATTAAAAACTTATTATTCATGAAAAATTTCTATGATATTGCTAATGGAATTACAAAATATAGGACTTTTTAGCCCTCAAAATTTTAGTTGTAATAAACTAAAAGTCTAAACAAAAAAAACTAAATTTATTTACAACTAAAAAATTAATTAGAAAAAATCCATGCCTGGTTCAAGATCCAAAATCATATCTAAGGCTTGTCTATAATGAGGTACTTGTTCGTTAAGACCTGTTAAGTTGAATTTGTCTTGAATGTAATCTTCATCAACCTAGAAAAAATACTTGTACTTAATTATTTCCTAAAATACTTAAATTAAATAATGTTTACTTCACAGAAAAATTCATTTCCGCGTAATCCACAGAACCATGAGATCCATGAAACTTCTTCTGAACTACTCATCCTCCTATCATAAAATACAATTAAACAAAAAATATTAAATCATTAGTCTAATAAATCAAAATAATGAATTGATTAAATAATTTAATGTTATGTAAATCATATTACATTTATATTGAAATTAATTATTGAATAAGGTTTCAAAGCTACTTAATTAAAAATACATTATATTATATAATACTGAATTAATAATTTTAAGTCTCTTTTTAAATGTGATAAGGTATTTAAAACAAAAGCAATAAAAAATTTGTATAAAAAATAATATAACAATATGAAATACGTACCTTCTTTTACTTGGGCTAGCCACGCTTTAACGTTTGACCACTTTAGAAAAACGGTGACAAATCTAATAATTTAACTACTTTGACAGGATTTTTGATTAGAGAATTTGGATAAGAAATTTAATTTATCGAATCTAGTGTGGGGTGTACTGTATGGTACCGATTAACTACACATTCGATGTGGGAATTAGAATTTGAGAAGACACAGTAGTGGCTGGTTACTACATACTACCACAATTCAGTGTAGCCACGATAATGGGTTGGTATTGATTTTTTCTAGTCTCATAATGTTTCATATAAGCTTACACTGTTATTTTATTAATATCAGACCGAATTGACTATCATTTTATGATTGAAAAAATAAACAAAGATCAACAAGTTGAGTATGATATCGCATATAGATTGTTGTGTTTACCTTGAGATAATTTATGTTATTATATTTTATATTATACTTATAAAGTTAGATTGAAAAACGTATTTATAATGTAATCATCTTTTAAATTGTTAATATTTCGGTCTCTTTGTGTACATTTTTTGAACAATGGCAAATGGTGGATGGAGAGATTGTGCAAATTGGCTTACTAGGTGTGGCGTTATAAGAACAGACCACAAAGTTAACTGGCCTGAATCTACTATTGATGACTTAGCATACACGCTTAAAGATGGAGTCATTTTATGTAATTTACTTAACATTCTAGAACCTGGATGTCTTGGATCTAAGGATATTAATCAAAAACCGCAAATGGTTCAAGTAGGTCTTTAATTAAATTAATTATAATAAATTTTATTGTAGCATCTTTAAATAATACAATTTTTCTAAATGATTTACAGTTTTTACAAACCTAATTTTTTAATTAAAGTTATTATATTTATTAAACAACTTACAAACTATAAATAGACAAAAATTTATATGTTGTGTCAGATGGTTTCATCAACTTAAACCTTTTTGAATTTATACTATTTCCTATTGTAGTTATTCTCCAATTTTAATATCATTTTTTCAAGCTAACATACTTTCTTATTTTTTTTTTGAATTTTAGTTTTTATGTTTAAGAAATATAAATACATTTCTTATGGTTTGCCAAGAAGTGTTTGGTATAAAAGAATATGATTTGTTTGATCCTATAGTTCTATTTGAGTTAACTGATTTGTTTAAAGTTATTAGAACATTATCAATTTTATCACAAACTCCAAAATTACAAAAATTGCATATTCGGTAAGTACTTAATAAATTATTAGCTTTATCAGTACAAATTTTTATTTTTGACCTATACTAATAGATATGTTTTATTGTTAAATTTATGTCTTTAATATATTAAATTTATATTAATATAAATAAATATAAAATTTATTGAATTAAAAAAAATTACTAAAATACATAAAAAATAAATTCAAATATATTTTACAACTTAATTAATTTTCTGTTTTAATTTTCAGGCCATTCATAGTTACAAAACCTCGAACTTTGTCTCAAGAAGATATATACAGAAACATAAACTCTTTGTAATTACATTTATTAAACCTATCTTATAGATTTTTTTTATTTAAAGTAAAAAATATTTTTTAAGAAATTGTCTTCTATATAATTATTAAAATAACATTTGGTAAGATTTTGGTATTATAATCAGATATGTTGATAGATTTTGATTGATATAATCCCAAAATGCTAATAATTATGAACCATACAATTAACAGTTAATTAACAAATTTTAATCTCTCAATGCACATTGTCAAATTTATTTTTTAGTTAAAAATTATTTCTACCATATTTACAAAAGCAAGTCTATGAGCTATTATAATTTTTATCTGTTTACTAAAACCATACAATTTATTTAATAGTAAATTATTTTTATGACTTAACTTGAATTTACTATTTGTAATTTTATAAATTAGATTATCATTTAATGCAACTGGACTAATAGTTTTTCATTTTTAGAGACTTAGTGTCATCTAGAAGTGCACTATTAGATTCTTTTCATGAAAATGAATATACAAGTTATGATACTCATGTGAGAAATGAAGAAATTTACCATGACCTTTGTGCAATAAATAATCGATCACCTATTGTTCAGGTAGTAATATTTGAAAAGTTTAAAATGTTCATGAACTATTTATACATTTTTATGGTAACAGAAGTTTTCAATAACTTTTTAATATTTCATATGTAACTAGTACTCACTATAAGAATTAGAGGTTGGAATTGTATTCTATTACATAATTTTTTTTGGTGAATCATAGATAAACGGGAATTTGAAATCTCAACAAGCTGTGAAATGTTTAATTATTTAATTTAGTAAAGTTTTTTATTTGTATTAGGAATATTTCATAATAAATGAATATTTTGCATAAAAAATAATATAAAAGAATACATTGACTAATTTGTTAGGATTTCAATATTTTTTGTTGTTGTCTAATAATTTATTATTTTAAAGAAGAATTTTTTAAGAAAACAAAGGTTATTTGTACAAAATAATTTAAATACTTAACAATATTTTCAAATTTATTTTATTTTATTAAAATTTACAGAATGATCCAAATTAGGTAAGACACTCATTTTCTCGGAAACTTTTAAGAATTTTATATTTTTGTAAGAGTAAGAATTATTAGGTTTAATATAATGGACAACAATATGTAGTTAAAACTTTTTTTTCATCCCTTCACTGTTATACCTCGACTATGTATTCTACCGTCATTTTATACTCACTCTTTAATTTAAAATTCTGTAACGTAAGAAGGCCAATCGTAAAGAAAAAAAATTAAAGAACAAAGTTATTTATATTTTTTTTATCATATTATCAAGTTAAAAATAGGGGTTTAAGAATGGATTTCCCATTTTAGGAGATTAAACTTAAGATTTTTTAATCCTGAAGGGATAAAAACAATTATTTGACTATATATTATTGTCCATTATATTAAACCTAATATTTGTTACTTTTACAAAAATATAAAATTCTCAAAAGTTTCCGAGAAAATGAATGTCTTACCTAATTTGGATCATTCTGAAAATTTTAATAAAATAAATTTGAAAATATTGTTAAGTATTTAAATTATGAATGTGTTAAAGCTTTAATGGATTGTCTTGTTGCTTGAAGTGCTTAAAGATGTATCTATGTTTACAGTTGAGTTCTGACGTTTCAGACTTATTGCAGAGTTTATCTTCAGAATAATGGTTGCTAGTCGGTGGCTGCAACTATACTGATATATAATCAGTATACTATACTATAATATAATAAATTACTTACTGTACTATAATCAACATAGTTGCAGCTACCAACTAGTAACCATCACACCAAAGATGGATTCTGCAATGAAACCGAAACGTCAAAACTCATCTGTAAACATGGATACATCCTTAAGTACTTAAAGCAAGTATTTAAATTATTTTATATAAATAACCTATGTTTTCTTAAAAAAATTCTTGTTATGTTATAAATTACAACAACAAAAAACATTGAAATCCTAACAAATTAGTCAATATATTCTCTTATATTTTTTTTTATGCAAAGTATTTATTTATCATGAAATATTCCTAATATAACAAGAATATTTTCAACTTTTTGAGAGAATATTAGTATCATATTTTGGCTAAAATATGGTTTTATTATTAACATAATAAAATCATATTTAACATTAAAATTTTTTATTTAATGAAACTATTGAATTATCATGATAACCTGTATAAATAAGCATGTAAAATTTGTGTTAAATGTTTCTTCTGCCTGGTAGTTTGGTTAATTACTATATAAAATAAAATTGTCAAAATTAATCTTAAACATAATTATTTAATGTAAAAGTAGTACTCAAACCTTCATGAAAAAATAATCAAATATAAAACAAAATTCTATTGTAAATACCTGTATTTAGGATCCTGTTGTTACACAACAATCTATTGAAAAACGTGACTATGTAATAAATGAGCTCGTAGAAACAGAAAAAAATTATGTTGATGTATTACAAACATTAATTAAATGCTTCATCAAACCTTTATCAAAAATAATGAAAGATAATGATTTCAGTGTAATATTTCAAGGAGTTAAAGTATGTATTATATAATTAATTTTTAAATTACTATTATGTTAATAAATAAATATATATTTTTAGGAATTATATGAAATACACAAAGAATTTCATCAAGATTTGATGAAAGCATGTTCTCAATTTAGTTCTTTAAGATTGTCAGATGTTTTTCTTAACTGGAAAGATAAATTTTTAGTATATGCAGATTATTGTGCTAATTTAACTACAGCACAAGATAGAATACAAGATCTTTGTAATCATAATGATCTTATTTATAGAGAAGTTAATGTATGTTTTTTAAACCATAACACTTAAATTTTCTAATATTTATAAAATTTTAGAAATTACTTTTTAGAAAACAGTTTTTTATTAATATTATTAAATTACGATGTGCCAGTATCAACAGTAGACAGATGGAAAATTAATGACCCTTCAATAATATTTTACCTTATTTATTTGTTTTATGATATATTATATATGTAACAATGTTACATTATAACATATATAGAGTGTTCAGTAAGTAATGAAACAAGTTTCTATTGTTCTCATTGTTTTTAACAATTTAGCTATTTCCTTACTTACTGAACAAACTATAATATATATATATACATAAAGTTTATATTTTAATGAAGTCATTGACTACTATTTTATTATCTATTTATGTGACCCACTAAATTGTTTGTTGATATCATTTAGTCTTAACACATTTTTACTTGATTAGACTTGTATTGTCATGGATGTATATATTGTATAATATTTAGATGAGTGTAGGGAATTAAAAATTTATTTCATGATAGTTTTGTAAAAAGAATATGTTATTAAATAACTAATTTAGTTAAAAAATGTAAAAGGGACTTAGTTTTATTTTTTTTTAAGAAGTTTAGCTTTAGAGGCTTAGGCGCCTCAAAAAATATACCTACTCATTGATGTATTAATATATTTTGTATTAAATATTCTATTAAAGCGTTGTCAAGAAGAAGCAAATAATGGAAAATTTAAACTACGAGATATATTATCAGTTCCCATGCAAAGAATTCTTAAATATCACTTATTGCTTGATAAATTAATACATGATACACCACAAGTAATTATACTTTAAGTAAAATTAATAATTCAATTTAAATTATTGTAATATATGTTTTATTATTTAAGTCTCATAAAGATTTACCGGGATTGGAATGGGCTAAAGAATGCATGATTGATGTAGCTCAGTATATTAATGAAGTAAAAAGAGACAGTGATACTTTACAAATTATGAATGATGTCCAGGTACCTAGTTTATGAACATATTTTTTTCATTAACAATTTAATAATCATAACTTATTTATGAAGTACATTTTTATAATATATTTATATTTCATAAATATCAAGCTAATTAAAATTATTAATTGTTTTAGAAAAGTATTGTGGATTGGGATGTTGTTGGTGTAACTCAATTAAAGAATTATGGACACTTAATTGCTGATGGTGAATTAAAAATAAAAGCTCATAACGACCAAAAGATAAAACCTCGGTAATTATTAGGACTATGCATTTTATTATTATTCTATATAACTGAAAGCTTCATATTTGTAGTTTTAGAATAATATTTTCAGTAGATAAAATTAATCTCATTAGAAGGTATTTTATGAATTTCATTCAAATATATACTATATTGCACATTATTTTAAGTAAAACATATTACAAGTTTTTAAATTATCTTTTCTATATACTTTTAGCTTTGATGTGTTTTTTTGTATGTTACCATTTATTCTCAGCTTTCATTAGACTGATTTTGATAAACAATATGTCAAAAGAAAAAAATTACACCCAAAAATTGAAAAAATTTCCTTCATTCCCCTAAATGGAGGAAATCTTCCAAAAAGTTAAAATTTTAAAAATCGATAATTTTTAACATTTATTCTTAATCTGTCATAACTTTTTTAAAAATAACCAAATCAATATAATTTTTTTTTATAGATACCTTAGGTATTTACCTATCATTTGATATATTTTTGTGAACATTTGACCCTTTACCAGCCCTTGAGGAGGGTTTCAAAATAACAACTTTTTCACAAAAAATTTACTTTTTCTACTTAACTTTTGAAAATGTTCCGGAAATACTGACACTTATATATATATATCTTAAATTAAAGCTTATGTAATATACTTTAATTTGAAAAAAAGAAAAAATTTGGCCCCTAGGCTTATCTTTATGATAAAAATGAGTACCGTATTGAAAAATATAGTATTTTTGTGAAAAAATTCTTGATTTTTTATTTTATTGAATGTTGTTTTTTCTATAGTGTTTTTATAATGCAATTGTTTGACTTATAAATCTTCTTAAACTAGAAGCTATAAAATAAATATTTTAGATATTATCATTTTAATACCTAAGTTTTATTAATTTGTTGTAGATATGTTTTTATTTTTGATAAAGTTGTATTGATGTGCAAATCAATAAGAGTAAGTTTTGATGTATTTTTTTTATTTATACATTTTAAGAAGTTGTTTAAAGTCTTAAATGCATGTTTTTTTATAGCTTTGATACATAGCCAACAAGTTATAATTTAAATTTAAATTTTTTTGTGCGTGTGTTTAATAGTATTCAGTATATTAATTTATTTTTGTCTCTGGAACGCCACTACCCCCACTTTTATTGTACTGATTTTGCACAACAATTGAATAAAAGAAATCAAATGTATCTAGTTGAAACCATTATCACTATATTATATATTTTGTAAAATTTCTCTCAATCCTTGTGTCCTAAAAAATATATTTTTCAAATAACAGTAGTCAATATTGATATTTTTAGTTTTCATTAACTATGATCTGCGGGAATGTAAAAATTATATCAAAATTTTTTTCTTTCAATTTTTTATAGTATTCTAAAAAAACCTAGCTTTTTTTAACATATCATATCTAATTAAAGATAATGCATTGTACTGGAGGGCTTAAAAATGTCTAAATTTGTTTTCATTTTAATTATAACTTAATTTTACTGTATTATTACTGTACTTTACTTTTTATTTTTAATTATAAAGTTACAATATTATATTTAACTGCTAATTTGTTACTGAAATATTTTAGCTTAACTTTTTTTGTACCTAAAAATAATAAAATAAATCACTGATTGATTTCAGAGTGATCAATATTCTTATAAGCAGTCAATTTTAATAGCACAATATAGGCTTGAAGATTGTAGCAGCCGAAAATTTTTATCTAGAGAAAGCCGCTGGTCTCATCAATTTTATATGGTTCATAAATCAGAAAGTATAGCATATACATTTTATGCTAGGTCTGAAGATCAAAAACTAAAATGGATGAAAGCTATAAAAGATGCAATGTAAGCAATTGCTATGTAATCTAAAATTAAAATGATTTATACAATTTACTTTCTAAGTATTTGTAGTTAAAATTTAATATGTGTATAATAAAAAGTGTGAATTCCATTTCCCACAAATTATTTGTTGTTGAATAATTACATAAAACCAAAAAACATGTGTATTATCAGTGGTGTAATTTCGAGTCAAATCTTGGAGGACGCAGGATCTAATAAATTATTTTTACTATGTTATGTGTATCTATATATAATTTGATTGTAGTCAGTAAATAACTCTAGTATAATTGACCACTGGGGTAGTAGCAGGTTAAGGCAATAAAGAAAAAATATTCTGTGTTGCTTTCTTAATTTTGTATAAATGGAGTATGCAAATACACCAGCAGTATGAGCTTAAAAAAATAGTAAGAACAAAATCATTTGAAAATTTGTTTTTTTTTTTATTATATTATCAAAATATAAGTAAAAGTTCCCATTAAAGAAAATTAAAGTTTAGATATTTTAATTTAAATGAGTGAAAAAAAAAATATTTTGCAACATATTCTTGTAGTATTTTTAATAAAACAATTTATTTCTTTGAAAACATTTGAAATTTTCAATAGTTTCCTAGAAAATGAGTGTCATATCCTTAATAAATCATCCTGTATAAAGTTTTACTATAAATATTATATATATATGTTTTTTTAGGGATAATGTAGAACCATCTGTGTGCAATTTAACTAGTCATAAATTTGTGATTCACTCTTTTAATACTCCTACAGTATGTTACCACTGCTCAAAATATTTAAAAGGCTGTATTTTTCAGGTATATTTTATACTAAAATATATTTATTTAGTAAATACATTAAACAAATATATTCTTAGGGGTATAAATGCGAGGAATGTTTCATTAGTGTACATAAATTATGTATACCAGAATCTGGAAGATGTGGTCTTATCAGTCCTCAGTCAATTGTGACACAAACTACTATGTTTTCCAACAGGTTTTCAGCGGATAGTACCATTTTTAATCAGCGTCATAGGGTGTGTATTATATAAATATTATAAAAAGAATTGCTGAAAATTTTTTTTATAAATTTCCTAATTAACTCTTTAATTTAATTGTGAACATGCATGATTGATATTTTAAGTTAAATTTAATAACTCTCTACTTAGTTCTTAGTTCTTTTTTTTAATTAAATATCGTTCTGTTCACTTAAAACACACTTCCAATAGTCCAAAAATGGGTTATTATTAAAAAATATAATATTAGTAACAAATATTGATACAAAACTCATTTGTATAAATGAAAATTTATAGTTACTTTGTAATAGTAGTTATATAATATTTAGATATTTATAAACTTAATTGAGAAATAAAGATATTAGGTACTTCAGGGAATCATTTTAACAGGCACATAGCCAGAAAATGTTTATTGGAGGGGCCAACAATTTTGGGCCCTTGTATCATTTTCCATAATTTGTTTCCCATGAAAAGCTTGTGGGGAGGCTCCCTCCACTCCTCCTTAGACAGTATCCTATTCTATGAATCTTACAAGTTCAAAATTTGTGTTTATTTTTAAAAAATTGGTGGATTAATCCAAAAATTACATGATCTGCTATTTCCTTATTAATATCCTGATTAAGATAAAGAATGAAAAAGGGATTACTAAAAAATATTATTTCTCATAAAAAAATTGTGCTGATCCATACATTTTTCAAAAAGTTATAACATTATAAGGTTAAAAATGTAAAATACAAAATCGAGAATTTTTACACAAAAATAGCATTTGGTAGCCATTTTCACCGTGAAGACAAAATAAAGTCCGAAATTTTTTTTAATAAAATAGTACATTACATTAGCTTTAATTTGAGATATAGATAAAAGTGTCAGACTTTCCGGAACATTTTAAAAATTTAAGTGGAAAAAGTTGTCATTTTAAATCCCCCCCGTTGGCAGGTAAAGGGTCAGATTTATAAAACAAATATATCAAATGAAAAGTAACGATATCATGCATCTATATAAAAAAGTTATGGCAATTTTAAGTAAAAAAAATTGAAAAAATTTCGAAAATTAGCGATTTTTAAATTTGTAATTTTTGGGGGATTTCCCCCATTTACGAGGAACGAGGGAAATTTTTTTCAATTTTTGAGAGTAATGTCTTCGACTAGATACGATTTGTGATCTTTTGATGTATCATTGAAAGAAATCGGTTCGGTGAGACTGAAAAAAAGTAGTAACAGACACAAAAAAAACACATCATAGTAAAACCAATACCTTCTCAGCTTTGCATCGAAGCTAATAAAATAATGATGTGAACATAATTGAGGTTGTGGTACAGTATTGACGTGGCATAGTTGGATCAAGTATAATGATATCTGACAGTAATTAAAATCACTATTAAAAAGAAAACGCTTCGATGCAAATCTTTAGATAGTGTTTAATTTTAAAAAATTGGTGTATTATTCCAATATGATCTGCTAGTTCCTTATTAATATCTTGATTAAGATAAAGTATGTCGAATAAAAAAGGGATTATTAATAAATATTATTTCTCATAAAAAAATTGTGTTGATCCATACACTTTTTCATAAGTTATAGCATTATAAAGTTAAAAACATAAATTATAAAATCGAGAATTTTCATACAGAAATAGCATTCGGTAGCCATTTTCACAGTGAAGACTAGTCCAGAGGTCAATTTTTTTTTTTTTTAATTAAAGTATATTACATTACCTTTAATTTAAGATATATATAAAAATGTCAGACCTTCCAGAACACTTTTAAAAATGAAGTTAAAAAAGTTAATTTTTTGTGAAAAAAATGTCATTTTAAATCCCCCCTGCGGGCAGATAAAGAGTCAAATTTACATAAAATAATATACCAAATGATAGGTAAAGACATTAGGCATCTATAAAAAAAAATTGTATTGATATGTCTATTTTTGAAAAAGTTACGGCAGTTTTTAGTAAAAAAAATTGAAAAAAATTTTGAAAATTAGCAATTTTTAAATTTGTAATTTTTTTGGAGATTTCCCCCATTTACGGGGAACGAGGGAAATTTTTTCAATTTTTGAGGGTAATGTCTTCGACTAGATACGATTTGTGATCTTTTGATGTATCATTGAAAGAAATCGGTTCGGTGAGACTGAGAAAAAGTAGTAACAGACACAAAAAAAACACATCATAGTAAAACCAATACCTTCTCAGCTTTGCATCGAAGCTAAAAGAAACAAATTAAAGGTAAGATTTATCAAATAAATTTTCATAGAGTATACTCTATTGAATTTTGTAATCAACTAGATTCTAATCAATGCAGATACTTCGTAGTTTGTTATCATTTGTTGGACCAGAGTTAAAAAAATTTACCTACAACCACGTTTGGAGTAATTGCTATTCCAACGTCTAGAACGTTATCTTTTTCAAATAACGTTTTCTATGAATATAAAAATGAAAATACAGCCATAATAATAACTGTATTACTCAATAGTAATCACAAATTAATAATAATTTCAATGTATATAAGGCCTAGCACGTTTTTGATAATTCGTAAAAATAATTGAATTTTAAATTTGGGGGGGCCGGCCCTGGGCCACATAAAATCTAAGGGGGGCCAGGCCCACCCTTGTCTATGTGCCTGCATTTTAAATGAAATTTTAAGAACTTATTATCGAAAAATCCATTTTTAGGCTTAGTGTTTTGTGTGGATGGAGACAATATAATAAATCTCATCTGAGAAAATTTAGTATTTATATTCTTTCCTAATATATATTTTTTTATAAATTCGGGCTTTACTTATTTTAGCTTTTGTACGAAGTTAAGAAGATATTAATCTTACTATGATGCGTTTTTTGTATGTGTCTGTCAAATTTTTCTCAGCTCTCTCCAGACCGATTTCTTTCAAAGATAAGTCACCAAAGGTTATTAATTGTATCTAGTTGAAGAAATTGCCTTTCAACATTTAAAAAAAAATTCCCTAGTTCACTGTAAATAGGGTAAATTATCAAAAAAATTACGATTTTTAAAATTGGTATATTTTGACATTTTGTTCATAAAACTTAACTTAACTTTTTCAACTTAAGATTTGAAATTGAACCAGAAATACTACAAACTTTAAACATATGTTATAATAAAGCTTATGTTGTATACTCTAAGTAAAAAAAAAATTTGTTCCGACGAGTGTAATTCTATGTAAACGGTCCAAAGTTAGACAAAAAATATTAATCATATGTAAAAATCATCTTTTTTTAAGTTTTTATTAGTTTTAATTCAAAGCTGAGAAGGTATTAATTTTACCATGATATGTTTATTTTTATTTTTTGTGTCTGTTACTACTTTTTTTTACTTAAATTTGTCATAACGTTTTGGAAAAAGGACGAATCACAATAACTTTTTTTTTATTAATACTTGAAGTATTTCCTTTTCTTTTGATGTATGTAATTTTTAAATGTGATTGTTGATAAAAACTGATGAAACGAAACTAATACCAAATCTTTTTTTCTTTTCAATATCTCATAATGCTCAAAAAACCCGACTTCATTAAAAACTTACACAAAGTCAAAGCAAATTTAATGTACTTGAAGATGGTAAATATCCAAAAACTTGATTTCTAGGAAATATTGGGCATTAAAGTCAAAAATCATACAATTTTCGGTAACAATTGCCTATTTTATAGTATTTTGCATAGAAACTCAACATCTACATTTTCATTCAAAACAAAATTAAATTATAGATTATTTAATATTCTATACAGAATGTAATTTTCGATGGTTATAATAAATCAATCTAATACCTATTTGAATAATGCTTGGACAAAATAAAATTTCAAGAGATAATAAGAGGGCGGCCTAGTCGACGGTTTACCAAATAGACAGTTTCTGTAGGTCGTAGTCACACAATCCCGAACAAGCAAGAACTACTCAGGTCACTACTGTAATCATTTGGGGATCAACTGTATTTTGTACTGACGGCACGATAGTGTAACGACCAAGTGTAATCGGTCCTACTCGTTACTTTGGACCGATTATAGGAGTACCGACCCATCACTAGCCAACAGTATAGTTACAATTACGAGTCTATTACAATCGCACCGAAAATGGACTCGACAACGAATCCGAAAAGTCTGCCTAAAACTGAAATACATGTCAGCTATATCACATTCATTTTTAATTTTATTAGCTAGTTAAAATTACATTAAAAAATATTGAATATCATTTCCATACTAACAAAAATTTATAAATTTAATTTTTATATTTTGTATTTATTCATTTATTATACTTATAAATCATAAAACTTGTGATTGGCATGTAAACAAGGAAGTAGGAGTTGATGTTGCCTATGGAATAAATTAACAATTCCTTCTAAAAATTAAATACTATATATATAGATTTGTATCAAAGTGTTTTTAAGATAGATATCTATACTTGTCTTAACTCTGCTACCTTCCCCCTTTGTGGGGTTGAGTTGAGTTTTTTTCTTAAATTTGTGTAATTAAATTGAAATTTCTGTTTTAGTCACCAGATTGGACACGCAATTGGTCTGATAGTGATATACTTACAGAACATCTTTGGTAGTATAAAATTATTATCCATATATTTATTTTACAAATTAATTTACATTCTATGAAAAATTCTTCATTTTAATGAATGTTACAAAAATATAACTTAACAATAATTATATATATATATACACAATAAAAATAATTATTTTTAATAAATTCAAAAATAAATAAAAATGAGCATAATATTTATATTGTACTATTTTATAATTTAAATAAACACAAATTATATAAATTTTTTTTATCATACACAAGTGTAGTGTTCAAAGTTTATATATTTTATTAAATCTCTTCTAGTAATAAATAAACCTAAAACATTATTATCATATTATAATTAACACTATAATAAATATTTGTGATTTATGGCTAAGGTTTGTGGGAGAAATGGATAGAGATCGGGCAACTAGTCTTCTCGAAGGTGAATCTGATGGAACATATTTAGTAAGAATAAGACCACAAGGGCCAACTAGACCTATAGAAACTGTCTATGCCTTAAGTCTCAAGTATATAATTATTAAAGATAAAAAATTTAATCTAATCTAAAACTTTATGTAACAATGTTTGTTAATAATAGATCCCACAATCATGTGAAACATATGAAGATATGTGAAAGGTTAGAAGATGGCATCAGTAGTTTTTACTTATCAGAAAAACGTTTTTTTCCTAACTTAGTTGAGTTGGTTAACTTTTATGAACGTAATAGCTTAAGTGAAAATTTTACAGGGTATGTATTAAATATTTTGTACTTATTTACATAAAATTGAATTATTAATTTTTTTCTTTATCAGGTTAGATATCAAATTAAGATGGCCTTTTTGTAGGCTACTAGCTATTGCAAAGTATAATTTTTCTCCAACAGAACCAAACCAGTTACCCCTCAAAGAAGGATGTACTTTAAAAATTTTAAGTAAAGAAGGTGATCAAAAAGGCTGGTGGAAAGGTCAAATAGGAGATAAAGTAAAAAATTATGGAATTTTAAATTATAACAATATAGTTAATGGTCTTACTCATTTCAGATTGGATTCTTTCCTAAAGTATATGTGCAAGAACTTTTGAGTTCATCATAATTGTATTAATCTTGGTTTACAACTTGGGTAACTTTTTGGCCAATTCTTTTGCAGCCCGAAAGAGAAAATAATCTCTCTGGCTCTGGGCCAAAAGTGATAATTTGCATAACTGTCCTTTAATGGAAATATTATTTATTAATTTGTTATCAATTATAAAATTTATTTGTACATTATTATGATAAATAAAAATTGTAATTTTTTTTTATAAATCTCTAAGATACTAGATTTAGGATACTCAAAATATAAATTATGTAAATAAATAATATACATCAAACCACTTAATTATTTTATATTGTAAATTAAATTTTTAATTTATTTTTTCTTATTAAAGGATTAGGCAGCAGCTTATTTACTAGTGGAATATAATTTGAATTGCAATTTTTTTTTTTTTAATAATTTATTTTATTTGCTTAAAAACTATTATTCTTATCATTTCTTGTAAAACATAAAACTTGAACTTTTGTATTTTTTAAAACAAAATTTTATTTTTTCTTAAATGAGAAATTTAAGTTTATAGTTTTAAGTAGAACAATCACTTAAAAAAGATTCACTAGTCAAAACATGATGTCTCAATTAATGTAAAAATAAAAAAAATTAAATTACAGATAAGAATATACCAGATTTTATCTTAGTCCTCTTTTTTTTATTATTCATATTCTTAATAAGTTCTATATAAATAAATAAATTATTCATAAATGTTAACTTGATTACTAGCAATTGTCAATAATTATTTAATTCAATATTTTTTTATTTAATTTAATGACATTTTATTCTTTTTAAATTAATTATTATTAAATTAAAAAATGTTAAAAATTGTCATTATCTGAAGCTTTATTTAAATTAATTACTTAATAGAGATATTTATTTATTTGTTATTAAATTAAACTATATACTCTATTATTTTTATTATGTATATAATTTTTATTACCTTTATTTCCAATTCAATAATAAATTTTAAGTAAATAATAAATAAATTATTAATAAGTGATATGTTTAAAGAATACAAGTTGATTCTAATTTGACAACAGTTTATACATGACTTCATAGGTATAAATTCAAGAAAAAATGTGACAAGGCATAATTTGTTTTTCACTCTAAGAAATTTTTTTTTTTTTAAATAACCAAAATTTGTTGCATCCTTTATAAAAAATTTTTTTAATTATATAAAAAGTAATAGTCGAGTAATAATCTTATAAAAACTAAAATTAAAAAAAAAAAAAATTTTTTTAATAATTTTCTTTAAAATTGTATTAAACTAACAGCATAGAGTACATATATATTGGTCTAAAATATTTGGGTTCTCCTTTTCTGCCACTAAATCTTATTAACAAAAAAAAAAAGAAAATATAACTTTGTCTTCTGCAATACCTCCACTAATAAAACCAACTCGCTTGACACAATACACAATGCTGGCATTCGAATATGCTAGGAGCATACAAATCAAGCCCTATAGTAAGTATATGTAATATATCTGGCATTCTCCCCCTTAAAATTATAAGAACAGGTAAGACATTAAAATATAGCGCTAAACTAAAAACTAATGATATACTTACTCATAGTTATACTAAAAAAACAATGGAAGAAAATAACATCAATACAGTTGGATTGATCCCTGGGGTATTTAGAATATTCCTAGCATTGTCAAATATATTAGATATCAACTATGAACTACACTACTTGCCCAAACTTTCAACCTCTAAAATAATTTACAATATCAAATTTATAGAACTTATGAACAATTACCAAAACTGGAACAAATTATACACAGATGCATCTAAGATGGAAGAAAGAGTAGGATTGTCTATGGTACTTGAAAACTCCTATAAGACCTATAATTTACCAAAAAATTGTTCATATACACAGCTGAAACATATACTGAAGGCACTTGAATATAATCAAGAAAGCAAAATCGGAGACTCAATTATTTTAACCCAATTCTCTTAGAGCACTTACCAGCATAGAAAATACATTTAACTCAAACTTTCTGGTCAATTTAATACAAAACACAGTCCACTCAATACACCACAAAGGTATATTTATAAAAATGATATAGGTACCAGTACACTCATTAATCCAAGGAAATAAAAAGGCAGACATACTATCAAAGGAAACTGCAAAAGCTAACAATATAGCAATAACACCTTTATGCACTATCCAAGACATCAAATCAACCATTAATATAAAATGTCTACTTTTATGGCAACAAAAATGGATAACCACTGAAACTAAACTATACAAAATAACACTAAACAACTAAAAATGGCCATATTTCAACATACCACGCAAACACCAAGTCATTATTGATAAGCTTGGACTTGGACACACACACCTAACTCATGGATATTTAATGAACAGTACTCCACTAATATGCGATATTTTTGGAGTCACTAACTCTGTCAAACATATTATCAAAAGTAAGAACATCAAAGAGAGGCATATGGAAACCCCACCATCTCTCCCAATCTCTCAAACATGACCTTAACTCTGTACGAAAGATGACAAAATTATTCAAGGTTACCGGACTATTTGACTTAATATAAAATCTGTATAACTTACGCCAATGGCATTTGTTGCTGCGACCTTTACTTTAATATAATAAAAAAATAATATATTTTAACAAAAAATCAAATATCCCAAGTGTTATACTTAATTGATTATTGTATTCCATTAAAATTATTTTTTTATATTATAGATAGACATTTAGTTTTTTAATATTTAAAATTTGTACAGAAATGTTTATTAAAATTCTTACTCTATTATTTCTGCAGAAGATGTTACATTCAAATTTCTTAATTCTGTTTCTATACATTGAATAACATGTGATTTCTCAAGAGGTAAAAATGGAACATAATGGTCAATGATATGAGAATCTATGATATCACTTTTTTTTAAACCACCTGTAAAACGTAAATGTTATAAAATTTAAAACTATACATATTTTGTAACTTCATTTAGTATAAATTTTTTATCTATGACTATATTGATTAACTTTTGTTTTCCAGAGAAATATAAGCTCATAAATAATGATATATAATTTTAACCAGGGAATAGAACAGAGATCGTTATTTGGTTATTTTGCAATTTTTATTATATCTATTAAATTAGTTGTCCGATATTGTAACTTTTTTAAATATTTGTTTTGGAAATTATAACAAAAACTAAAAATATAAAGACATTGATTGTGCTTAACTTCAATTAAATTTAGAATTTGACTTTATAAAATTTAAGAATTAAAAAAAAGTCAGTTTTTAATCATTATAAAGTAAAATCCAAGGACTCAAAATAAATTTGGTTTACAACAATACTTCCAAAGAGTACAATTCATACATTTTTTAATTATTTTAAATTTAAAAAGAAAACTAGTTAATTTCAGTACAATCTACAACCATACAATCTATTTTATCAATACTTCTCTTTAATAAAAATAAATAACCTACATTACATAATAATAATAGTTATGATAAATAACTAACTTTGTTCATTAAAGACTGATATTTGCAATACAGAATCAAAATGTTCAACATTCATTTGTTCTCTAGTGTACCCTTTTTTCCAAAGCTGCAAATATCGGTCCAATATTACGTCTTCTCCTGTATTAGTTAAAAATATAAAAATTGAATTCCTATAAAAATCAGTAGTTAATTACATTAAAAGTTTTTAAATTAAGTTTTTGATAAAAAAAAATTAAGCATTTATACATTTATTGACTACTAAAGATAATATAATTTAAAGAATAAAGAAATAATACAATAAAAGAAAAAACTTTTTACTCAAAAAAGTCTAAAATTACCAAATTTTCTTTTTAATAACACTGATAATAATGGCATATATTTATTGAATAAAACTAGAAATAGTTACCTCGAATCCAACGTTGAAACATTATTTTCAAAGATTGGTATTAATATATCTAATATACCATGAGGTATTTTTGTAATTTCATCAAAAACAAATATATTAGTAGGACAAATTTTTATGTCAGAATATACCTTATTGAATAATGTTTCCTAAAAAATATATGTAAATTATAAAAAATAACTACAATAAAAAAGTAAAATAAAGTAGTTTAGTAAAAAGGAGTTAACACATTTTTTAGATTAGTATTCATTGATATCTGACATTGACCAAAATTACTTTCTAAAAACACTTTGATGCGTATTTAAATCACATTTAAAAAAATGTAATGTATTTATCAAAAAGTACATGATTTTTTACTTAAGAGATTGACTATTTATTGAGGATAAGTCACAGGAGAGTTTTTCTTTTTTTAATTATATAAAACACAAAACAAGATTCAATTTGAAATAATTTAAAATGATTAAAGCATTCCACTACTATGCAAAATATTACAAAATCAATTAATTGTACCAAAAGTTACATAATTTTTGACTTCAATGAAAATAACTCCTGGAAATTGAGATTTCAAATAGTTTTTCTTTTTTATCTTAAACCAAATTATATTGTCTTTAATTAGGTCTGAAAATTTAGAGAACTTAGAATATTGATCACTCTGAAATTAATCAGTAATTTATTTTATTATTTTTAGGTACATAAAAAGTTTGGCTAGAAGCCAGAAGTTGGCCATAGTGACCATGCCACAGGAGTTGGCGAAGAAAATACTTGAGAAGGGACGACTTTGTGTTGGTTATGTTTCATGCAGGATTAAACAGTGGATTGATAAGAAGCGATGTTTCCGGTGCATGGCCTTTGGCCATGACTCAAAGGAGTGCTCTGGACCGGACCGCACTGACTGCTGCCGGGCATGTGGACAGGGAGGACATGTGGCCAAGGAATGTAAGGAGCCGGAGGACACGAGGAAGGCATTTGGAGTCCTGCTGAGACGGGAAGAAACGGAGAGGCTGCACCGAATAGCTGGAGCAGGTAGAAGTTTGGAGGTGAGCAGCGGAGTGCCATCGTCCTCACTGCAATCATGATGGAGTCCATTAGGTTCTTGCAGGGTAACATGAACCACTGCAGGGAGGCGATGGATTTGCTGCGGCAGCAAATCCGTGAAGAGTGCATAGACGTGGTNACTTAAATATAATATTGTAACTTTATAATTACAAATAAAAAGTGAAGTACAGTAATAATACAGTAAAATTAAGTTATAATTAAAATTAAAACAAATGTACATTGTAATAACTAGATATGTAAGTTTATATAAAAGGTAGGTTTATTTAGAATATTATAAAAAATTGAAATGAAAATAATTTTGATAGAATTTTTAATCCCCACAAAACACAAAACATTAACTACTGTTTTATAAAAATATTTTTTTTAAGATACAAGGGTTGAAAATTTTTTCAAAATTATGGTGCTAATGACTTCAACTAGATACATTTGTATTCTTTTAAATCAGTCCACGCACTCTTTAAAAAATTTCTTTAAATGCATATAAAAAAAAAATACATCAAAACTTACTCTTATTAATTATCAAATTTATCAAAAATTTACAGAACAAAAAGAAAATGGCAAAGTAAATCAATAGCTTCTCAGTAACATATCAAATCTTAAATTAAATACTTTTTTAACTATAATAAAATAATATTAAGTTACCTGGTACTCTTCATATTTTAATGAATTTGTAAATGATGATCGTCCATTAATTATATGATATTGTAATTTTTTAGACTTCTCTGTTGTAAAAATATGATTTGCAATTAAATGTGTAACAAAATTTTTTCCAACTCCTGTCCAGCCATGAAAACTCATAACTAATGGTTTTCTATTCTTCTCACTACGCTGAGAGTTACCTTTAAGTGCTGATAAAATAATATTTGAAGCAATATGTTGACCAAAAAAGTGTTTGTCCAAGTCATTTTTTAAACCTAAATTACAATTTATATATATACAAAAAAATTTAAGACGTAATATATGCTATATAGTTTTCAAAAGGTAATAAAACAGGTAGATTACAATAAATAATGATAATAGAAAACTGTCTTTACTTACTTAACTACATATATATTATAAACTAAATATTTGAGTAACTGAAGAAAAAATATTAAATAAAATATTACCATTCAAGTCAATTCTTTCTCTACAGCTAGAAAACGATAAAATTTCTGAAAATCTAAAATTCTGTATTGATGTAGTGTAGTTAAATTTTTTTAAATATAATCCTCCTATAAAAGCTCCAACTACAATAGTTCCTGTTAATGGATCTATTAAACTATGAGTAGAATTAATCAACATTAAATGATAAATAAATAATGGACAATATTTTATTATGTAAAGCATTTTAATACAGGTATTTTTTCTGTATAAGAGATCATGTAATACATATATGCATCAACATTTTCAAAAAAAATGATAAGTATTTCAATAAAATATTAATTTAAATTTAGAAAAGTGCTTTATTATCATCCTATCAATATTAATTAGCTTATGATTCAATATGAACTAGTGTAATAATTCAAAATTGAAAATTAAATTTGCCACTCAATGAGAAACACGCATGTAGATAATGCCGTTACTTCATCTCATGGTAACATGCCGATACCATAGATATGAAATTAGTATCAACTCTAAATGTATATTTTGATAACGGAAGAAAACATTTTAAATGTATGTTAATTTGAGGTAATGTGTTACCGATTTATATATACTATTCAGCAGTTAACAAATACTAGCTATGTAATTTTTCTAAAATTTTAGTTTAAAGTTAACTGATCTAAAACTTTTCAAGTAAATTTGGCTAAGAACCAAATTTAGTTTATTCTTAATAAAATCCATTTTCATGATAAACAAAAAATATTTTACTTAAGCTTCTAATTTTCAAAGAGAAAGGTAAAAGTCTGTTGGTTTATAACCTGTAAAATGTAAGCTTATCTTAATCAGCTGATTCTATCTTGTCAAACTCGTCTATTCAAGATCGTTCTGTCGTTAAAGCGGCGTTCCCTACTCGAATGGCCGCCAGTATAAATGTGACTTCCAACCTTGAAACATGGCGCTCGCTGCCACAAGTATTTTTTTTTGTTTTTGTGATGAATTTGCAATTACTCGATTGTATCTTTTTTTGGAAGGTCGCAATATTGGAGCACACGTTGACTGGATGCGCAGTTTTACAATATAGAAACAATTTGGTAATGAAATGTGGTCTTGAATTATTTTTATCGACACAAAGATTCCAAAACCAATTGATTTCTATATAATTATTTATATTTCATATCATGTCAAAATGTACTTCAAAAATTTTCATTTTCACCATTGAAGATTGTTATCTCCTCCAAACAATGGATTATTATCTTAGTATTTATTTTTAAACTACCATTCTTTTTCTCTGTGTTTGTCTATAGTAAAACAAATAGATAAATCGAATTTCTGTATTAGATTAACATTTATATATTTTTTTTATAACCTGGTCTTCAATTAAATAGGTTTTTTATTACCTTGTAATTAAAGCTGTAAATGACTTAAATACATTTTATATTAATGTTATTTTACCCTAAACAGCCTCTATTCCAACATTACATAAAAAATTAAAATAATAGTTAATTTAATTGTAAAAAAAATTATATTTATTAATCAATTTTTAAATTTATATAAAAAAATATTATCTACTTTTATAATTGCTATAAAACGATTTTAAACAATTTTAATAATGTATGTTTTTTTGTGAACATCTAGTAACTGAAGCCAAGAAGTTACGTCAATTACATGAAAACTTGAAATAAATAATATGACAACAAGGTAATTTATTATTTAAACAAGGCTTTCTTTATTAATGTGATTCAAAACAGATCAGTTTAAGTATAATTGATCTATATAAATTTACAATGAAGCTCATATTTCATTTTTAAAAGTTGATTAGTAGATTATTTCTCTTTTTTAAAGAAAAATGTATTAAAATATTAAATATTCATAAAAATACTGCGAGTATTCAATAATAAATAAATTTATAATGTTTTAGGCTAGATAGACTTTTTGTTTTGTTGGATTCTGCTAGCAGTTCAGTAACCAGAAAAACAGCTGCTAATCAACTAGGACAAGTTATAAGGTTTCATCCTCATGAACTGAAACCGTTATTGGAACGTATTTCTACTTATCTATATAGTTCATCTTGGGATACTAGAATTGCTGCTTCTCAAGCTATTGAAGCAGTTATTAAACAAATTCCTCAATGGTGTCCCTGTGGTTTACTATCAGTTAAATCTGGTAAGCTGGACAAATTATTCAAGTCGAAGTATCTTAAAATAACAATTGCATTTATTTTTTAGAATACAATGATTTAGAAGTAGATGAAAAAGAAAATGATAAATTGACGTTTATTTCTTTTGATTTAGCTACTCTTATGACAAGTTCTACATTAACAAATTTTCAAGACATAGAACAAGATATTCCTAATACTTATGAAAATAGTATGTTTAAAAATTGATTAAGAAATATATTTATAATTTCAATTAGCCTAAAAATTAAAACTAATTATGTTTAACAAAATATTTCATTAAACAGTACGCTGTTTATATATACCATTGTTATAATTTGATCAGTTCTGAATTTTTGTATTTATAAATATTATCCGAATATATGTGCATTTATAAATTATAGAAATGAATGTTGAAAAAAGACCAAAAAAGAGATGGAGGGAGGGATATAATTAAATGCGATATCAGGACAGCTGTTGTGAGTGTAGATGATGTTGGTGATTGTGTCAAGTGGAAGTTTAGGATAAGGGTGGCCAACCCCAAGTAGTTAGAATTAAGGCATGGAAAAAGAACAAGAAAGAAGATATATATGCATTTATAAATTTTTGTTTAGAAATTTTAAAAGAACCTAAGTTTATAAAAAATTGTAATTGGAATATACATTAACATGGAAATATTTTTTGTTTTAAGAAGAAATATACCTCCCTAATCCTTTAACACTATAATTCCTGTTAGAATACATTACTAAGTTTTCAAACTTATTAATACACATTTTTACGGCTGGTAATGTATTTGAAATAACTTTAAAAAATTTATAAATGCATATAAATTCAGACTTTATAATATTTATGACTTATAATTTTCATGATTTCAAAAAAACTAACAATGTATTAAAAACTTTAGATTCTTTAATTCAAGATCAACAAAAAATAATTAACAAAACTCTAGGGCTAGATATAATTGGATCAAATATTATTACACCAGATGATATAATAGTAACTCCTTCCACTGAAGTATCTACAAATAATTTAAAAGTATGTATTTAAAAACATAATTTATATTACACTGATTGTTTGATAACTTATTATTATTTTACACAACTTTATAATTTATTGTGTTACCAAGTCTGTAGAACACAATTATTATTTATATTACATGGCCTTGTTAAATACTTAAACAATGAGTGTTATAATTTTAAGTTTTAATGACGTTTTAAAGATATAAATAAGGGGAATAGATAACCTAAGTACAAAAATAATTTTATAGTAAAGATGCAATTTTTTATTAGTAAAAGAACAAGTTATTTATAACTTGCCTTCAGACACATTTTTAGTTAAACCTTTAATGTATTCATGTATTTTAGGTAGTTAATATTTAGTTGATGCATAAAAAAGTAAAGTGTAGTGTAGTGACAAAAAAAAAAAATATCTAAATACTAATGTTTTTTAAAAAAATATAGTTAATTATACACTCAAATTTATCTGTTAAGAAAAAAATGTGAAATTTGTCACATACTGTTTTAAAAGTTTTTACAATTTATGGTAAAATTTTAATAAATAGTAATAAAAATATTATATTTATACACAAATTTTTGATACATTATGACAAAATTACACAACTTGTGTGTATCTATTTCAGAGACAGTTGAGTGAAGTCATTAAATCAGATTATGAAATAGATAAAAATTCTAGAAAAATTAATCAAGAATGTAAAAAAGCTCGTCAAAATGATCAAGTCAGTAACAAGCTATACGGATCAACTTCATTAGAAGTTAACAATAGTGGAAACATAGGTTCCTGTAAAAAAATAAAATTAGATTATAATGAAGAGGTAAATTATTATTTAAAAACCCCAATCAGGCACAGTGGGAACTAATGTAGATGATATCTGATTATGGTTAAAAACACTATAACACAAAATGCTTTGATACAAATCTGTAGATTTGTAGATCTGTGTTTAATTTTTAAAAGAAATTATTGTATTATTCCAATAGTAACATGTACTACTCTTTCTTTATTTATATCCTGATTACAAGTTTTATGATTTATAAGTATAATATACTCATTATGATAATTAAATTTAGTATTAAAATTTTTATGGAGAAATTATAAGTTGTAAAGTTGTTGTATACAGTGTGATTAGTATAATATTAGCCAATCAATTACTATTAATATAATAATATAATTATTATTTTAAAATAAATCGAATGAATAAGAGTAATGAATAAGGCTATTAAAAAAATCACTTTGCATTTCGTTATTTCAATTTCTCATAAGTCATCGGTAGCCATAATATTTTTTTTTTTTTTGGAATGGGCGGTCCCTTTCTTTTTAATATACATATTTTAACATTAAAAGCTGTAAAAATACTCCATGAAAATATTTATATTTAGCCTTTAAATCAATTTTTTTTTTTTTTTGTAAAAGGGGTTAAAAGATGTAATTATCACCCTTCCTTCCAAAAAGACTATACTGTTTGACCTAAAATGTTGACAAATTAATTTAAAGAAATAAAAATTAAAAATAGAAAAACATAACAAAACATAAAATGGTAATTTTATGAATAAATTGAAATAACATTTTTTGTTAGAGAAAGTTCTAGAGCCATTGGGACAAATTTATTTTTAACTTATAGTAAATAGCATAAGCTTTAATTTAACATATAATTAAAATTTAGAGTTCAGGAATATTTTCAAAAATTAAGTTGAATAATTTCTACTTTTATAAATATGTTTAAAGTTTTGAACCCTCCCTTTATAAGTGGAATTGATCTAAATTTAAAAAATATATATTGGATGAAAAGAATATGCATGAAGTACTTCTAAAAAAATTGTATTAATCCATATATTTTTCAAAAAGTGGTAGCAATTTAAAATTGGAATTGTACAAGATGTGTTCAAAAAATATTTGGAAATTTCGTTTTTGAAAAAAAAATTTATTTGTTCGTCTACATTAATGTTATCTGCTTCAAAAAAGTCTTAATTAGATATTAAGCACTTGTGCCAACACTTTCCAAACACTTCTCAACACGATCTTTAGAATAGCAATCAGCTCATTTAGTGATGCGCTTTTAATGTCATCTATGCTTGTAAAACGACGGCCCTTTAAGATTCTCTTTATTTTTGGAAATAGAAAAAAATCATACGGAACCATTTCTGGCAAATATGGAGGCTGGGGCAACATTACAGTATTGTTTTTTGCCAAAAATTTACGAACAAGCAATGAAATGTGAGCAGGTACATTATCATGGTACAAAAGCCATGAATTGTTTTACCACAAATCCAGGTACTTTTTTCAGATTGCTACACACAAATGGCGTTGAACTTGTAGGTAATACTCCTTATTGACCGTTTGATCTCGTGACAAGAATTCATTGTTAAATAGTGATTGTTCATAACCATTTCTTTCACTTTTTTCACGTTTTCATAGTTTGTTGATGTTCTCGGCTGTTCATCTTCAACATCTTCACGGCCATCTTAGACATGCTTATACCATTCATAAACCCTTGTTTTACTCATGAAAGACTAGACATAGGCTTTAGGTACACTGTATTTCATTTTTTACGAAAAATTTAATATAAATCCTTTGATCCATTTTTGTTAATAAACAAAAATCGCCAAGCTCATAAGAACACGGCTTACCTTAGTAGATGCCTCTGACAAAGTAAAAAATGAATCCAGCTGAAAATTTTATTATACTTTAGGGACATTTGTACCAACATTATGAAAAAAATTTTTTGACAATCAGATTCTCTGATCACACAAAATTAAAAAATGTCTGTTATTTTCTGAACACACCTCATAAAATATTATATTTGACACCATAAATAACTTGTTTTTTAACTTATACTATGTAACATAAGCTCTAATTTAACATATATTTGAAGCTCTATGTATTTCCGTAACATTTTAAAAAGAATAGTTAAAAAAGTCAACTTTTCATGCAAAAACAACTATTATTAATTCTCCCCTGAACAAGTAAAGGTTAAGATTTTCAAAAAAAATATATTTAATAAAAGAGGAATACTTCAGGGAATTATTTAAAAAAAGTTGTTTGATTTGTTCATTTTTCAAAAAAAATATGACAATTTTAAATAAAAATGTTAAAATTTACCAGTTTTAAAAATCTTAATTTCTTTTGTGAAATTCCCCATTTACAGAGAAAAAGTGATTTTTTTTCAATTTTTAAGGGCAATGTCTTCAATTAGATACAAATAGTGATCTTTTGAAGTATCATTATAAAAAATTGGTCCTGTGAGACCTGAGAAAAAGTGGAAACAGACACAATAAAAAAAATATAGTAAAATTAATATCATCACAACTTTGCATCAAAGCTAAAATAATTTGAAATATTCAAATAATATGTAACCGTACATTTTATTTTTTTTTTACAAATAACAATTAAATGTATAGTAAAAATGACTTGATTTTGATTTAAGTAATAGTCAGTTCTTTATTAAGTTATAATAATTATAATTATTGCTTAATATTCATTAATAAATAATAGTAATTTAAAAGATAGAAGTTTTGCTAAAATTTAATTATCTTAGAAAACCTATTTTTTAAAAAATAATTATATTTTAAAATTTTTTTCATAGAATAATTGGCCATTTGAAGAATTTGTAAAACCACTACTTAAAAATTTATTTAGTACAAAATGGGAAGTTCGCCATGGTGCTGCTACTGCCTTAAGAGAAGTTGTTAAACATCATGGCCGTGGAGCTGGAAAATATGCTAACCAACCTAGTGATCAAGTACTAAATTTTATTTATGGATAATATTTCTATATCTTTAATTAATTTTTTTTTGTCTAGATGGAAATTTCTCATCAATCTTGGTTAGAAGATGTAAGTTTAAGGCTATTATGTGTTTTAGCACTAGATCATTTTGGAGATTTTCTAGGTGATCAAGTTGTAGCACCAGTGAGAGAAACTTGTGCTCAAGCTCTAGGTATTTGATACATTTTTTTTAATTTATACCAAATTAATAAGATTAGTATCAACTAGAATATTATTAAAGCTAGTAAAACGCTAATTTTCTGCATAAACCCAATATAAATTTATATTGATGTATATGTTTTTAAGAAATATGATAAGCAAGGCATTTTAGCCAAAAATAATCCCTTGTATCATAAAAGTATTTAATAAAGTTTTTTAACTTTGATGCAAAGCAGAGTAGGTATTAATTTTACTATTATATTTTTATTTTTATTTTATTTTTGTGTGTCTGTGGCCACTTTTTCTCAACTCTCACTGAATTAATTTTACCGAAAAATACATTAAAAGATCAAAAATAGTATCTAGTTAAAGAAATTACTTGTTTTAAAATAAATGAATCAAACATTTTTTTTTTAGCTTCGATGCGAAGCTGAGAAGGTATTGGTTTTACTAAGATGTGTTTATTATTTTTTTTTTTTTTTTTTTTTTTTT